TCTCGTTCGTGGTCCCTCGTCCGAGAAGTCCCGTGCGCCAGTTGTACGCCTCCAGCCCTTGCATGTCCCGAATGTCCAGTCCCTGGGCCCGGTTGGGCTTAAGTACTCTGCCGGGCCCTTTCCCCACTAGTCTGTGTGTGTGTGTGAGCCCCAGCCTTCGGTGCATCGAGGCTGCGAAACACTTGAAGCGCCTCGGTACCGTGCATGCGCTCGGGCCTGATTAGGCCCCCGAAAAGTCACTGTCGGAGAGGGTCTTCCCGTAAGGAATTGGGCCCTCTGCGGCGGCCTGGTACCGCAGCTGTCCCCGAGCCTGCCTCAGGTCCGCCCGGGCCTATGCGGTCTCCATACAGCAGTGGTACCGCCCTTAAGGAAATTCAAGCGGGGCCTGAAGGTGGAAATTGGTCCCATCCCCCGCGTCCCAGCGTGACCGCCCGTTCGGAAGAGAACTCGACTGGTCTAATGGGCCCCTTGCCCGTGATGTCGGCCCATGCCATGGTCGGTGAGTCCCGACCGGATAAAGTAGGCCCCTTGTTCGCAGCGTCGGCCCGCTTCATGGTCGGTGTGTCCCGCTTCATGGTCGATAAATGTTGGTAACCCCGTCGGTCCCAGTGTCGGCCCGTCTCATGGTCGATGAAGCCCGGCCAGGTAGAATATTGTCGAGTGGAGTTGTCGTCGCGTGCCCTCTGAAGGGAAGTAAAGGGCGGCGTAGCATTGTAGCCGCCCGACAGCAGCCCCTTCCCCCCATTCTCGACGTTCTCGGCGAGCGAGTATTGGGATTTGAAGGGAGAAAATTTTGCAAAAGATGGTGACTCCTAATCTCTACCCATCAACCCAAGATTATCCTCTCTGTTGTGCTCGGATGACTTTCTTTTGTTTTTCTTTCCTTTTTGACTTTCTCTTAGTGAGTTTTGGTTTGACGCCTAAGCGCTTGTGTGGTGGAGTACATCTAACATGAGGTCGGTGTTTTTTTGTTTTTTCTATTGTTAGGGCATTTCTGATGAGTTGTTTAGCCTTTTTCTTCTTCTCCTTTTTTGTTGCCGTCAACTTCTTGATCTCGGACTTCGTGTTCTTGGTGTGTTTGCGTTGGATATGTCGGACCCTTAGAAGTTTGTGTTGTGTATTTTTTGAAGATTGTCTAGAGGAATCTGGTACTTGAGAAGTGGTTTGTGCGGCAGGCTCTAGTGCATGCCGATTGGAGGTCTCCCCTACTTCGGAGGTAGTTGGTGCTATAGGTTCTTCTAAGGACTCATCCTTCTTTTTACCTTTTTCTGGGTGCCTATGGACGTCATTTTTCAGAGTGTTTTTTCTAGTGCGTGGGATATTCTCTGTTCGATCTTTAAATACTTTAAGACGGGCTCCAGACACCGGTTCCTTCCATCTTGTGCCGTCTAATTTCTCTATTAAGTAGGCTCCGCCTTCTAGTCTTTTGACCACTCTATAGGGCCCCATGAATCTGTTTGCTAGTTTTCCTGTCCATGTTCTCTCTAATGATGAGTCATAGAGCAGGACGAGGCTCCCTGTAGGTATCCCTTCTTGCCTGACGCGAAGGTTCCTATCCCATCTTTCTTTCTCTTTTTCTCTCTGGATCTTTAATTTGTCTATGGTTTCTAGGATGTTATCCTGAAGAGTTTCGACTATTTGTTTGATTTTTGTTGCCAGCAACTGTTCTCTAGTGGAGATCTCTTCCCAGTCAATCGTTTGCCAAGAGTCGATATGAAATTGTATAGGTAAGGGACAATGACGTCCAAACCATAACATATAGGGCGGATATCCTGTAATTTCCTAATGTTGTTCTGCAGGACTTCTAATTGTAGAACGAACAGGAGCGGGGCTAGTGGGCAACCCTGCCTCTGTGAGCGGGTCAAGCGAAAACTATCGGAGAGTCTACCGTTCACCATTACAACCGATTCCGCTTGGCTGTAGCTGGCTTTGACGCACCTGCAAAAGGCCTCTCCAAAGTCCATCTTTCTTAAGGTTGTGAAGACAAAACTCCATCCTACTTTGTCGTAGGCCTTTTCTATGTCGAGAAGGAGGACTGCCACATCTCTTTTTTCCCTCCCTATGATTTCCAAGGCTTGCACGGTAGTTAGGATGTTATCAAAGATAGATCTTCCTTTAACAAAAGCCCCTTGTTCCCACCCAATCAGATCCGGAAGGAGTTTGGCAAGTCTTAGGGCTAAAGTTTTGGCAAACAACTTGTATGTCACATTCAATACTGAAATTGGGCGCCAGTTTCGCACCTCTCTCTTATCTCCCTTTTTATATAAAAGGGAGATCAGACCTTGTGTGAAATTGCTGGGAAGGGTGTCACTTGTAATGGCAGTATTATATATTTTGCAGAGAAAAGGTGCAAAGGCAGACCAGGAAGCTAAGAATAGTTCGATTGGCAACCCGTCTCGGCCCGGGCATTTCCCTTTGGCCATCTGCTTTGCAACCTGCCAGATTTCCTGTTCCGTCATCGGTTGGTTCATCTCTTCTTTTGCCGTGAGCGAGATGGTAACGTGAGGTGCGTCCCAAAAATCTGAAAATTCTGCCAAGTCTGCATCGGGGGGGTCAAACGGGCGTCTGGTGGTGACAATGTCTCTGTAGTATTCTAGGGCATAGGCACACATAGTGTCTGTGTCTACAGCTAACGGGGCGTTAATCGCGAAGGGATGGGTCAATTCTCTCATCAATGGTTTGGCCTGTCGTAGAATCAAGGAGCGGAACGAGAGCTTGGTCATGCGGTCGTAACCGACTATGCCCCTCACACATAGCCAGTCTAACCACTCACCATGTTTTTGGACGTGTAACGATTCCAATTCGGATAGGGTCAGGGTTCTCTTATTTGACCAGAAATAATCGGCAAAGGGATCCCTACCCATCTGGGCTTCGACCATTTTAACTTCTTAAGTCAAGGATCTCTCTTTCCAAGTTCGCGCTGCAGATTTCATTCTGGAAAAGTGGATAAGTGCAACTTTTATTATGCCAATCCCTGTGTCTGCCCTAACGTTCTGATCTGTGAACAGGTCTTGGGCCTCCATCCAATTTTCCATCTGATTGGTTACCCACCTAACAATACCCTTGTTTTTTAGTAGGTTGGTATTCAGTCGGAATGGGGGACGATGCTTATCTAAGACATCTCGAGTTAGTATGTCCATGACTACCGAGTAGTGGTCCGAGAGATTTGAAATGTAGTAATCATATGCCATGCAACGGTCCCACGGAGAGTCTCGTGCCAGAAAAAAATCAAGGCGTCTTCTCGGCGCTCTGGTCCTCCTACTGGCTTTTGGGCCATACCAGGTGAAACCGTGGCTATCCGGGTTAAGAGTCTGGTATACATCAAACAGGGATTGAGAGTCTGAGAATTCTTGGAGAATTACCATGTCCGAGCGGATAGGGAAGATTTTCAGAGAATCTAAACCCGGGTTGAAAATCGTGTTCCAATCCCCAGTTATAATTAGGTTCTCTGTGTCGGGGATAACTGCAGGGAGTGAGGCAAATAAATTTACTCTCTCCGCGTAGTCCACTGGAGCGTAGATCGTCATTACAGCCCATTCCTCATGATCCATTTCAAATTTGATCCATCCCCATCTCCCATCATGATCTTGGTATTGGTCCAGGATGTCAATTTCCAAGTTGATGTCTATTGGTATGGCGACCCTCCCCTTGGAACCATCCGCAGGAGTCCACAGTTGAGGGTCCACCCACCAGTGGTGCAGGTCCTCCAGTTTCGACATACTCAGCTTAGTTTCTTGCAAGCACAAGATGTGGATTTCTTGAGAGTGAACCCATGACTGAAGTCTGGCTTTTTTGAATCTGTTATTTGAGTCACCTAGTCCGCGTACGTTCCAAGTGGCTATCCTAACCCTTCTTGGTAGGACCATTGACAAGGCCCTTACCGCTCAGACTTTGGATGCGGGTAGATAGCTTTTTGCCCCTTGGTTTACCCCCCCCCGAGGACTGCCGTTTCGTGGGAGGTTGCTTTGGGGGCCGTTTGTCTTGATATGCGGTTGCCTGCAAAAGCGGGAGTGGTAAGAAAATCCGCCGCCTCAAGCTGCGCCAACCAGTTTGCTATGCTGAGGGCGGACACGTCCTCAGAGATAGCTATATCTCTGAGGGTGTCGATGCCCACATCTAGTAGATGGGCTAGTGGTAGCCAGTGAATATTCTGGTTTCGCAGATTAGCCAACTCAGTGGTGTCAGCTTGAAGAGCCAAAAAGGAAATGTGCAGAGCTGAAATTTTGCCCCCAACATCTGTTTCCAAGAATCTACCTTTCCTGGGTTTGGGCAGCACTGTCAATGTACCATGACTGTTCAATACCTGCTCTGTCGACCATTTGAACAACTGGCTATCCACCGGGGGGCCTGCTGATGAGAAGGCCGGCATGGACAGGGATTCGTCCGCTTGGATCTTCGTTAAAAACATGATTCCGTGAGGGGACTCTGTGCAGATGACTGGGACAGCCAACTCTTTCACTGCGCCTCTTGTTTTATCTGTTTTGGTCAGGGTGCGCATTGGCTGCGCAAGGGAGAGGGATTGTCTGATTTTTTCCTCTTTTCTCCCTTCTGATCGCTCTTTGGAGCCGGTCTTGCTTGGGCCTTCTCCTAATTGAACTTTTTTCTCCTTGGGCCTGCGAGCCAGTTTTTTTGTTTTCTTAGCAGGAGAGGGCGAGGGTAAGTGAACTGGAGATGGACTGAAGTCTGCATTCTCTGAGAGCTGCCTCTCGCGGTCTGAGTCATTCATCCCATCCTCACAGTCTTCGAAAAGCTCGCCCGGCGACCTCAGGTTCTCCCCTATTACAGTTGGGGAAAAGTTGCACTTAGTGGGACACAGGGCTTCAGCCCTGCCCAGGTCGTTCTCGTCAAGTCCGTAGGATTGGTTGGAGTACGTTTTGAAACTCAGGTGGGAGAGATCTTGTGAACCTCCGAATAGGGGGAGCAAACCCCCCTCCCCTTCCTCGTCATCTTCTCCTTCCGAAGAGGAGGAGGGGAGGGGAGAGAGAGGGATATCCTTTGCCTTGTGGGCACTATCTTTGTTGTACAGAATTAAGGTTTTTTCTAAGTCTGTGTCAGTTCCCGGATGGTCGAATCGTTCCTCTCTATCTTCTCTCTTTCTCTTCTACGGTTACATCCTCTTCCATTCTGTCTGTTCCCGTTTCTTTATCCCTAATCAGCAGAAAAGCGGAGGGTACTTTTTCGCTCGATGCACCTGTTGGGGGGTTTTCCTTCCCACCTGGGCGAGCCTTGAGCAAAACCTTGCGGGAGGGGGTTAAAACTTTCTCCCCATCCGTCTTGGCCTCTTTACTCTGATCCCCCTTTTCTCCATTTCCCATCTTATCCACCTCCTTTCTCAAATCTCCATCCACCCCGGGACTCCCTCCACCCTTATCCGCCCACGGACCCTTATCCTTCTCTATCCCGTCCAGGACTGCGTTTTCCTTTTCCTTTTCACCTGTCCCTTTGCCCTGGTCCTCAAACCCCGCATTTCCCTTTCCTCCTTCGTCAGTCCCGTTCCCCTTCCTACCTCCGTTAGTATCATCCTTATCCTCCGCCCCCTTTTTCTTCTTACCTGTCTTCTCCTTTCGGGTCTCGTTTTTCTCCTTCTCCGGACCTCTCTCCTTCTCTTTGTCCGGAGCGGGGTTTCCGTCTCCTCCCGCCTTTCCCTCGGTCCCTGATCTGTTCATCAACCCGCCCTCTTTCTCCGAAGCTTTTTCCTTGTTGCTGCCCGTTTTTTCTCCTGGACCTCCTGGACCTCCCGAACCTCCCAGACCTCCCCCTCCTCCGCCCTCTGTCCCTGAACCAGATCCGTTGTCCCTGCCTTGTTTTCTGTCCTTTGGATCCGGTTTGTTGGCATTAGACTTCGCAGCACTGAGGTACGACTTTTTGTTTCTTGCCGAACACTCCGGATCGCCTTCCGAATGGAAGTATTTCCTGCAAGCTGGGCACCATGGTGAGTCAGCGCAAACCACCTCAATTTCCACGTAGCCCAGATATCCCATGTCTACTATCAAGTAACGCTTGTAGCGTAGTCAAGCCGCCAATTCCAAGTCGAATCGAATGTTCACCAGATCAGGTGATAATGGGTCGGAGAAAGCCTGACTCTCTTTGATGATCGGGCCGAAGGCGTCGGACACTGCCTTAGAGAGATGGGGTAGGGCACCTACCAGTACCTGCAAACACCTAATCCAGAAGAAGCGGTATTTGGCTACTTCCCTCCATTCCCACAGTTCGTGTTCTGACATCCATGGCCTAAAGGTAAGAGTGTATTTCTTTGCGTCCAGTTCTATCTCCGTTTTGCCCACTCGGAGCATCCAGTCCGCTATTTCCTTTGCCGTGGAAACGTATGTGACTAGGTTCCGCCCCTCGTTGTGAAAAAGTCCCCGCTTGGGAGGGGCTGACACGGCGCCTGCAGACGCCCAACCGTCTTCGTACATACGGACCAGGTTCTTTTTCACATTGATGGGGAGCGAAGTCGCATCGTCACCGAAGGAAATGGTGACTGCGTGGGCCATGAGCCGTTCCTCCTGAATTCTATTTACTGCCGGGTTGATGACTACTCGAACGTAGTCCTCCCCCGTTTTGACGGAATTCGGAGCTAGGTTCATGGGCAGAATTCCATTGATGTAACATCTCGAGATTAGATCCCTGATCCTTTCTTTTTCCTCTCTCGACATTGATAGGTCCGTTTCTGGCGCTGCCATTTTCCTACTCTGTTTTACGACCTACCTTAGGCAGAAAGTACACGAAAGAAGTGAAAGTTAACCTAGATTGAAGCATCCATCAAATGAGGAAAACACAGTACATTCACCATTGGGTAATCCTCCGCAAAATGGTCACACTGATCGAGTCTTGCGAGAGTGTACCTGTGCGATAACTGTAGTTAACTCTTGCGGTCCGCGGAAACAGCAGCCTGGTCCCACGGAGCATAGTTACTCCTTAGCAAAAAACCCAGATCTCTTTGGTCGATGCTTTACTCATTGATCCACCAGGGGCACACGGTCGGGGCGGGGCGACTATCCTGACCCCCCGGTATTTCACGGTTGGTACACACCTACTCAGCTATGGTGAGAACAGGCTCGCTCCCTTCCTACTTCGTTTTCACCGAAGACGAAGGGTAACACGAGCACGAACCCGTCTCCGCGCCGTGACCTAACCACGGGATACCTTCACCGTCTCCGGTGAGGAAATTACCGCAGCGTTAGCGCAGTGTTTCGCGGGGCCGCAGCCACCGCCCCTAAAATATTTCTAAAATATTTCGTGTAATGTCTCAAGAGCATCATCTAAGGGCCTCGCTGCACTACTGTCCACTGTACAATTTTTCGGACAGTTGGTGGACAGTTGTCAGAGCGAAATATTGTACAGCGGACAGTGGAAAATGCGACATGGCTCCACTTACTGTCCACTGTCCACCTCTCAAATTCGTGAGTTCACTACCAGACGCAGTGATAGAACTACAAGACAGGGCGTCCAAAGGATTTTGTCCGCCCCGACTCTAGGTGCACTGTCCAAATTCGGGTCCTGACGGTGAGTCCCTCGGAGGACTTTCCAATGAACGAATTTTGCAGGCTGGGAGCTGTACATTCACGGACAGTAGATTTCCGACGGGGTTTCTATGAACTGTCCAAGCCATTTTGCACATGTACAGTGGACAGTAAGTGGAGCGAAGTACGACTGTCCGTTTTTGTACAGTGGACAGTAATGGAGCGAGACCCTTAGTCTTAAACCACCAGTACATGCCTCACATCGGCCGCGGGGCCCGGCCGCCTATTTCTTTTGTCCACGGCCACACGGCGCGCTGCCGGAGAGGCGACAAGTTTCTTTTCAGCAAGGTTGGGGCCGTGGGTTCATCCGGAAAACAGCATGACTGATTACTGTGTGGGAAACTGTGATCTGTCTAGAACCCCACCTCTACAGCAACCTGGGCTTTTAAAAAAATAGAGGAAAAAAAAAGGAACATCATTTGTATGCTCGGAAAAAAAAAAACGACGGCAAAAAGAGGGCCCGCTGTTATCTTGCTGACTCGGCTATTCATAGAGCGCTGCTGCCAGCACTATAGGAACAGACTTTTGGTCCAGTGTGAGTACGCCCGGAGTTTTTTGTTCTGAGGGAAACTATCCAACCTATATCGTACTTGCACTGGCACTACTGGCCGCGCCACACCAGTGTAGAAAACTAGTTTTTTGGCATTTATGACTAGCCACACCATGTGTCAGTGAAGAGTTTTCGACAAGGGCTGTTTCCAACTCCAAACTGCCTGCCTGCGGCAGGGCGAAACTCGAAACCACGAAAGGGAGCTTGTGAAAAAATGTGTGGATGTGGACTGCACAACGGCCCAGACGCGCTCCTGCTGATCCAACATTTTGAGTGCATCCCGACCACCACAGGTGCTGTGTAGATTCCCAGCCCCATTGAAATCTGGGAAGGATGATTGATATCCTCAGCCCTGTGTGCACATGGCACATTTTGGGAGTCCGAGTCTTGCTGTAGTTGTACGATTGATATCCTCAGCCCTGTGTCGTTTTGCTGTCATTGGATGTATTACCTCATGCTTCCTGTCCACGCGCGGGTTGAGGATGGGATCGCAGCCAAAGCTAGCTGTGTGCGCGCGCGCAATTGAACCTGGTGAGGCCGTGTGTGCACAGAGGATCCTTTCCTGTTCTGACAAAGATACTATCCTCTCTTTCTGTTTGTCTCTCTTTTGTTTTTTRATTAGTACAACATCCTATCCTGTGAATGCCCTTTCCTGTTCTGGCAAAGATACTATCCTCTCTTTGGGTCTCGCTCCACCTCTGTCCGCTATACAGAATTTCGGAGAGTTTGTGTATAGCTGTCAGAGTACCAAAAAACGGAAATTTCGTGTATAGTCTGCGCCGTCGCTCCACTTACTATCCGCTATACAGCTCTGTAATTCCTGAGTTCACTACAAAACACCCTAAGAGCACTACAAGACAGCAGTTTGTCCGCCCAGACTCCAGGCGGCCTCCTTCGACCACCCTTCGAGGAGTATCCGAGTAACGACTTTTACAGGCTAGGAACTAAACACAAATGTAGAGTGCGATCCACGGCCGATTTCTGACAACTATACAACGGAGTTTTCACGTGTATAGTGTATAGTTAGTGGAGCGACGCCGARCTATACAATTTTGTATAGTGTATAGTAGTGGAGSGAGACCCTTTCTGTTTTTCTCTTTTCTTTCGATTTTAATTGGTACAACATCCTACCCTATGAATGCCTGCGGTCCCGTGATGGTAAGAGAACCAAGGGGATCGGGGTTCCGGTGGGGTTCCAGTCGGTGACTCCGATCCATTGGTGGGAAGCAGACCTTCACCTGCTGCTGCTGGGAGCATCACCCCCCAGCTTCCCTTGTGCTTCACTGATTACCTGCAAAACAGTCACCATTGGTGGGAAGCAGACCTTCACCTGCTGCTGCTGGGAGCATCACCCCCCAGCTTCCCTTGTGCTTCACTGATTACCTGCAAAACACCCGGGATGAATTTGGCAAAAGAACAGGGCCAAATTCATGAACGGGACAAAACAGGCCAGGGGAGCTGTGGCCAGGGCGCCAAGGCGCCTTTCACCCAGGCTGAAGACATTTGGTCGGGCAGTACCGAACGGCCGAACTACCCACGCTGAAGACATTTGGGGGTATGTAGTACCAAAAGGCAGAACTATGGGTGCCCAAAACCGAAAAGGTTTTGGCGTCTACCAATTATCCCAACAACCGGCCTCTCAGCCCAATGGGGCGTTTGAACAGCGTGAAAAACCCAATGGGGTGTTTGAACAGTGAAAAACCCAATGGGGCGTTTCAACAGCGTGAAAAACCCAATGGCGCGTATGAACAGCTTCAACAGGTATGACTGGAGGTAGGGAAGCGCTGTGACTGAAAGCTAGCTGAGAGAGGGCCCTCCCTACAGAGGTTGGGACATGCCCAGCTTCACGCCACAGGGGCCTGGACATCGGGAGTTGGCCCTGGGCGGACAACTTGATCCAGGGCACTTGGGTAGATGCATCTGACCTCAATAACTTCCACAGCTGAGTCGACAAAGTCTATACACTTGCACTTCTCGAAATGCACCTGACCGTAATAAATATTATGGCCGGATCTGGACACATCTGACCTCAAAATGACGTCCAGAGCTGAGTCGAAAAACTCCTACCGGTGTGAGCATGCCCTCAGACTTTTTTTTCTGCGCATTTCATCATGGGAGGACGGTGGATCCGACTGCATTGGGGACAAGCAGACGGAGCCATGAATTAGAGTTTCACGCAAATGGGCACGTAAATGTCAGCGGCTCGCTTGTTCAGCTGCGGCGGGGTTACGTATTTTGCCGGAATCTTTCGAGGTCCCCACAATTTCGTATTTCTTTTCGACCTGTTTCTGGGGATGATTGGTAGAACCAGCCCACGCCGAAACCCAAAAAATCACCTGCAATTTTCGATTTTATGAAAATGCGTGCTAGTGTGAGTATGCCCTCACACTAGCACTTTTCAAAATGCATCTGCCTGCTATCATTATGGGGATAATTGGTAGAACCAGCCCACGCCAAAACCTATTCGGTTTCGGGCGCCCAGAAAAACCTGGGCCTGTTCTATGCGCCCAGCGAAAAGTGAAGGGGCTATTTCCATCCGGCCTTGAGACTCCCATTTCTTTCATAAGCGGCCGGCCTCAGTTACTCAGGAAGTGATCGAGCGTTTGGCAGAGCCGCAGAGGGGAAGGAAAAAAAATAAGCCCGGCGAATTGGAAGGGACAGTAATCGGGGAGGCACAGAGACTGGCCACTCAGATGATGCTCGGTCCCTCTGCTACCAGCTGTCCCTGACAGCTGTCCCCCATTGCGGGTTCCCTGAAGGCAATCAAGGCCACCCTGGGCTGAAAAGGCCACCCGATGTCAGATTAGACACAATATTGAATTTACCTGGGCTATATATATATACCCTCACAAACAGAACTGCCCGGTAAACCGTAGGCAGAGAGAGAGAAGAGGACAACAAACGAGGGGCTGTGAAAAACTGTTTCGTCGGAGTTTCACCGAC